TCTATCATCTATCTATCTATCTATCATCATCAATCTATCTATCTATCTATCTATCTATCATCTATTACCTATCTATCTGTCTATCTATCATCTATCTATCTATCTATCTATCTTATCTACCATCTATTATCTATCTATCATCTATCTATCTACTATATCTATCTATCTATCTATCTATCTATCATCTATCTATCATCTGTCTACCTATCTACCTACCTATCTATCATCTATCTTTCTATCTCCCTATCTATCTACACTTACATTTCCTAGGCACCACAAATGAGATAAGTGACATTTTTCTTTTTGAAATTGTGATCATTTTCTTCCTGAAAGCTGTTTGAATTCATTGTTGTTATCTCTAATCAAGATGATGAGAGATTAATAGAAGGCTGTCAGCCAGACAGCATGTCTTTAACCTATGAGGAATTCAAAGCATATACATGGAAGGAAATTTTCAGGATTTAAGAGCTATTAATATGAGGGTCTTTTTAGCTCTTGTTTCACCATGAAGTAGAATCTGAACATTTTTCATTTGGTTTATTTCTGCCAGTGATTCAAGAGTTATCACAGAAGCTGTTTCTCTAAAAAAAAAACCTTGCATTTTTACATTGTTCATGTTTACATTGTTCATGAACTGGTGCATTGACAAATTTAGCTATGATTAAAAAGGGCAACCCTGGAAATAATAGCCTGGCTTGCAACCTGGAGAGGCTGTAGATGAAGTAATCAGATTTGAAATGAATGGTTTAAACCTTTTCAAAGGTTAATTTTTGATTACCATTTCCCAAAATACAGTGCAGATTTGGCAATTAACTGCTTAGATGCAAAATGTAAACCTTGCACTTTGGGGCTTGAATCATCCGCTTGGCTGTCTCCATTAATTACATGAACTCATGTGCTATGAGTACAGACTAAAGCTGACCATTAAGTAACAGGGTGCCCAGCTCTCCTCCTTCAGCTTACACTAGAGTTTCCTGTTGTGGCAAAGTAGGTGAACTCTTTTGTTTTTTATTTTCTCTTTGTGTATGTGTGTGGGGGTATATACATGTGTGTGCAGGTTGTGTGTGCCTATACATGTGTGCAGAGGCCAGGTTCTTCTACTGCTATAGACATTATTCCCTCGAGGAAAGGTTTCTCACTGACCCTGAGCTTGCCATTTTCTGGCCAGGCTGGTGGCCAGCACATGCAGCAATCCTCTTGTTTCTGTGCTCTAGCATAGTGGTTATAAGCATGCATGAGCACAGCTGGCTTTTCACATGGGTGCTGATGATCTGAATGCAGGTCATTATGCTTGCCCAGCAAGCGTTCTTACTCACTAAGCCATTTCCCTAGGCTGAAGTATGTAAATTCGTGAACTCTAACCTCAGTTTAACCATCTCTGTGAGTAGAGACTGAGTCATCATTAAAACTCTCAACGCTAGGTGGTTCTTACCACCAGTACCAGATTCTGAGAGCCACAAACTAACCAGAAACTCTACAGCCTAGCTGAGGCTATCCCCTAGCCTTGACCCTTCTTTCTTCTGGTCAGACCTTTTATTGCTTTGCCTTTTATTCTCTGCCTTCTGCTCCTGGGAAGGGCCAAGACAGAATTTTCCCCAATGATGTTTATTTATTTTTTTATCTTTCTGATGAGAAGACTTTGGAATACATGTTAAATTTTGAATGAAGCCCAACACCCTTAGTAATTGATGTAACATCAAATTCAACTCTGGATTACTGGAGAGTGAGATACACCAGCTCTGGGTTCCTGATTTCTGAGTCTCCTTCCTAAAAAAAGATGTTGATAAATAGGCCAGGTGAAGTGGTGTGGCCATCAAAGTACAAATTTGTTATCTTCAAGAACCTAGACTTGAGAGCCTTTGACATTAGAGTACATAGTTTCAAATTAGATGCTTTGATACATACTCGTTCTCATCAGTTATAACATTTTTTTGTTTGCTCTGCAGTACACATTCCTCCAGGCCTCTCTCCAGCCTTAAAGAACTCCCTTTTCTTCATTTGCATACACCTAGCTTCATAAGTACTTCATTATAAACTGGGATCCTATAGCTAAGGTAATCATGGATGCTGTTCTATGCAGTCTACTTTGGGTTTTATATTTTGTGAGGGTCCTGTTGGGGTTCTGACCACAATTACTCTATAATTAAAATATATCATGCAGTTCATAGTCCTCTCTGATTTCTTACTTTATTTGCTGCTCCTAAGTCTGGCTCACTTTTCAAGATACAGTTAAACTGTACAATTTATCCAGGGTTCACTTCAGTGCCTTCTACCATTTATTTATTTAGACAGGGTCTCGCTATATAACTTTGACTGGCACTGGCCTAATGCAGCCTAGTCTGGTCTCAAACTTATAGAAACCCTCCTGCCTCAGCCCCCCAAGTGCTGGAATTATAGGTTTAGCCATGATTCTTGGCTTATCATGTATTTAGAACCTTGATCTGATCATTCCCTCTACTCAACAGCAGCAACAATGAAACACCATGTCATGTCTCTGATGTAATAATAAAAATTACATTTGTAAAATTTCTTTGGCTTCTAGCCGGGCATAGTGGCGTATGCCTTTAATCCCAGCACTTGGGAGGCAGAGGCAGGCGGATCTGTGTGAGTTCAAGGCCAGCCTGGTCTATATAGTGAGTTCCAGGACAGCTGGGGCTACAGGGAGACCCTGTCTCAAAAAGACAAAAAAAAATTTTTTTTTTTGGCTTCTCACTCATGTTTCCCATCACCAACATAGTTCCAATTGTCTTTTCCTCTAGAAACTAAACTCATTCTGTGCACGAATGTCCTCAGATACTCATATTTTACTGTGGGGAAAAGGACGCTGGCACAAGAATGAGGGCATCTAAACCCTTGATACAATGCAAAAAAGTGGCTTTGGACAAATTGCTATTTCCTTTTTATGTTGTGCTGAGGGCCAAACCCAGGACCCTGCACACACTAACAGCACATTCTGCCCTGAGCTACAGTCCTAGATTACCAAATCACTGCTCTCTTTGGCCTTGAAAGCCCATATACAATCACAAAAGAAATGTTTTTGCTCTTCACCTCGACTCTTCTATGACTCTTATCTCAGTAAAAGAAAATATATGCAGTGTTGAAATCATGTTAACCTCATAATAAGTAATCTTCCCTTAATTATTATTTAAAGATTAAAATTTTATTAAAATTTAGTGACATTTTGTTAAGTAGTAGGTGCTGTGTTAAAACGTTTTATATATTAACATGTATACATGTTTATTTTTAATTTGAGCCTTAGAATGATTCCGTGAATCAAGTACAATAGGGAATTCCTTTCTAGCTGTGATAGATATTTTGCCAAACCCAATATGGGTCATTAACACAAGTATACTAGTAATAATTAGTAAGGATTCCGAATATTGAAAATATCAAAAGAGATTTAATGAATGGGACTTACCCAGACCTTCAGAATATTGGCACACATGAAACACTGAAAAGGTGGGCCATAAGGTCCATCAACATTTCAGTGCATTAAAATCAAACCTTTTCTTTTGTGATGAAAGCAAAACGAGGGTATAAATTAAAGAAAAAATGAATTGTGAAATTACCACACACTAATAATTAAGAAGCAGTTCTTTAAGTAATCTGTGTGTCAAAGATGAATTATAATAAAATCTCTTTAAAAATATTCTATGTCAGGGGCTGGAGAGATGGCTCAGTGGTTAAGATTACTGGCTGTTCTTGCAGAGGACCTGTGCTCGTATCCCAGCACCCACTTGGCAGCTAACAACCGCCCATAACTCCTGTTCCAGGGGATCTGACATTCTTGTCTGACCTCTAAAGGCATTGCATGACATGGGTTCACTGACATACATGCAGGCAATATACTCATACACATAAAAATAATAAATAAAAACTATGTCTAAATTAAAGATGAAGAGCTAAAATAGTACTCAGAGTAAAATGCATGTCCTTAAACTTTCATGTTAAGAGAGAATAAAATCTGAAGATGAATGAAATCAGCATCTATCTTCAGAACTTTGGGAAAAAAGGAAAGAATAATCCCAAGAAGGTATAAAGAAACAAGAAAGTGACAACAGAAGATAGTGAAAACAGTAGAGTCAGTTTACTGATGATTATCGGAGTTAGAAGGTGGGATTTCTTAACAGATCAGGTTGATATAAGAAGAGAGAGGAAGCCTACTATATCAGGCATGAAGAATTACCTAACTTTATATGCTACAAATTTCAAAATAACCCTCAGTGGTTATTTCAAGAAATGTCAAGAACAGTTTGAAAACTTCATGGAATTTAAATAAAGTTTAGAACAAATGAACAAATTAGTAGACATTTTAACCAATGGACATATGCTGCAATGACTTAAGAACAGAAACCCAACCCAAGCCCCAACAGAGCAGGCTCCATATGCAGTGAGTCCTTCCAAATATTCAGGGGACAAGAAGAAGTTTTTGCTTATCTAGAAAAGCAAAAGAGAGGGAATTTCCAGAAGCTCACTAATTTGACTGCTGAAATCTCTCAGGGATTATGAGGGGGAAAATTACAAACCAAACTCAGTCATATACACAGGTGAAAAATTCCAAACCAAATGTTAGTAAAGAAATCCAGAAATACATTAAAAACATCATAAATCACAACTGAGTGGGTTTACACAAAGAATGAAAGATGGGTTACCATTAGAAAGCTGTTCAAGTGTACTTTGCAATGCTAACAAGTTCAATAATATTAAATAACACATATATCTCAATGGATGTGGGAAAATATTTTTAAAAAATTTTATCAAGCTTTTGTACAGTTCATATAATAGTTCTTAATCAAATTTAGACCCTCCTCCCCCCATCCATGTCCCCCCAACCCCCCTGAACTCATGTATTCTGCCATACATGTTAAGTCTTATTCAGTAGCATTTATACCCAGATGTCCTTCAGTACACATTCGTCCCCTGGAGTCTAGTCAGTCGATCTAGAGATCATAAGTAAGGCATACTCTCCCTCATCCAGTAGTAATCAGTCTCTAATTGTTCTTAGTCTAGGGTTGGCCGGCCACCCATTTCTCTGGCTCTACTCTGGGCCCTTGTCTGCTTGAGTTGTTGTATGTTTGCATGCTCGTGGGCATGCATGGAGAGGAAAAGCCTAGAGATTAGGTTGTAAGAAAAAAATAGTATCAGTAGTTCAAAAAAGTTATAATATATGCACTTTGTTAGTTTGTAAGACATGAGTCTGGAATAGCCACCAGTTTGGTTCTTGATCCCTGAATATTGTGGAGTTACTTGAACAGGTTGCTTAGGTCCTTGTTAAGAGAGAATAATAAGACAGAGGGAATGAAAAATAATGATTATAGGATTTTCTTTAACAACAAACACGATGTGGTAATGAGGAACTGTGAAGTATACCAAATAGCCGATGCCGAAGACAACATGGCACAGAATTCTGTATTTACGTCAGTTTTCTGGTCAGGGCTCAGAGCTGTGGCATATCAGTATGGGATAAAGGGGGAAAGTAGACTACGGTAAATACATGGGTAAAAATAACATGAGGTAACAGCAATATAACCACAGTGAGAACATTGTATTTCTGAGTGACCAGAAAACAGAAAAGGTGTAGACTGAATCACTCTTCTTTGGCCACTGTCTGGTACACTCTCCTTTTCCAATCATGGATCATATATAGTTTCTGAAGATAATGACTAAAATGCTCTTTTATATTAAAAAATATAAAAAATCTAGTTTTTCTCAAGTGAATCTTTGGAGTCATTTCCAACTTAAGTCTTAAGAGTTTTTAAAATCTGATATTTGGCTGGTCAAATTTATATATAAATTGGAAGGATCAGTGTTAGCCAAGATTTTATCCAATAAAAAGAATAAGAAGAGGCCTGGGCATGGTGGTACATACATACAATCCCGTGTCTCAGGATCCTGAGGTGACAGTCCAACCCCAGCCTGGGTTATATAAAAAAGACAAAAACAAAACCCCCAAAAATAAAACTAAGGGAATAATTAGAAGAGATGATGTTCCAGGTGCTAGGCTTACTAGACCATAATATTAAAGTGAAAGAAAGAGATGAAAAAAATCAGCCCAAAGAGAAGACAATAAATACTTAGAAAACAGCTCCTCATAGGTGTAGAGGCTTGCAATAAAGATGGCCTAAAAAGATAGACTTCTCTTGGGGCTGGAGAGATGGCTCAGCAGTTAAGAGCACTGACTGCTCTTGCAGAGGACCCGGGTTTGATTCCCAGCACCCACATGGCCGCTATGAACTCTCCTTAACTCCAGTTCCAGGGGAATCTGAAGCCCTCTTCTGACCTCCGCAGCATTGCATGATATGGGTGCACTCACATACATGCAGGCAATAGACTCATACACATAAAATAAAAACAATAAATAAAATAAAAAAAAGATTTCTCAAAACATAATTCTGTAATGTCATTATTTACATGGGAATCCATGAAAATGCTTCCCTACCTCACATCATCCACAGTGTCCTAAACAAAGTGAAATTAAATATAATGTTTGCAAAAGACAAAGGGAAAGTAAAGAACGTCTTCAGGTTAAGGATACAAAGCTCAGGTTGACCATACATCATAAACTGGAAGTGAAAACAAGATATGGATAAATGTCATTATCTTAAAATTAACAACTTCTGCCACAAAGTCCAGAGAGAGCTCTGCTGCATCTACTATTGTCAAAGTATTTCTTTTGAGAATCTATGAAAACAGTAAGGAAAAGGAAGACAAATCAGTAAACAAGTAGTTGTGATGTTTAGGGCTCTCAAACTTACAGAGTCTAGAATCACCTGGGAGATGGATCGCTGCCTGTGTCTGTGAAAGACTGTCTTAATTATGTTAATTGATGTGGGAAGGGACATCTTAATTATGGGTGGGATCATCCCTGGGCAGGGGATCTCAGACTGGATGAAAGGGAGAAGGGGACCCTTGAGTACAACTGAGTGAACATCTCTGCTTCTCAACTGTGGCTGCAATGTGACCAGCTGCTTCAGACTCCTGCCTTGACTTCCCCATCATGATGGACTGTACTTTGAGGTATGAAGCAGAATACATCCTTTCTCCCTTAAGTTGCTACTGTCATGGTAATTTCTTACAGCAACAGAAAAAGAAACTAAGACAGTAGACAAGAAATTTAAGAGATACTTCATAAAACAAAAATAATAATAAATAAATCTCCACATAGCTGTTCAAAATAATTTGTTATCTTGGAAATGAGATATAATTATATGGATTGGAAGTTTAAGCATGTGAACCACAGTAGATAATGAGCAGGATTTTGTAATGCTCCCGAGTGTGTAAATTTGTACAACTCCTTTGGAGAGTAAGTTGGAAGAACTTAACAAAGCATTTAGGATTCTCGTTCTGTACCTCCTTGATGTCTACTCTAACTTGTAGATTCTTGATATCTCTGAACATGTGTAGGCAAAACCAAGAATGTTATAAGAGAATTATTCTGAATAGCTAAACCTGGAATCAAGTCAAATTCTTTTAGTAATATAATGGATTAAACATTCTGACTTAGTCATTGAATGGGATACTATATGGCCCTAAAAATGATCAGACTACAGCTCTAGGCAGCATTGTAAATCTGTTGAAAGATATGAAAGAAAAGCATGGAAGTGATTCAGAGAAAATTCTGATGATTGCTTATTCAGGGGGAGAGAGAACGTGCCTGCACTGGGCACTTGTGTGGCTTCAGAGACCCAGCACTGTCTAGTTCTCACAGTGTATGGTGGTTGAAGAAACCAACCAAGCAGCTAGCAGAGGGTAGTAGGAAAGTTTGCAGCTGAGGAAATTAATATTCTATTTTTTAAAAAGCCAATAAAGAAAAAACAAACAAACCAAGCTTTACAGATTATTTTCCCCTGACAAAGCAAAAATGACGGTTCTCACAGTCCTGATACAAGTGCTTACATCTTCCCTGGTTGTTAGATATGTAATTCCTTTCTGTTTTCCACGGTTTGTATGCTAGAAACTTTCACCGCACTATCTCCCATTACAGTTTGACACAGGCAATTTAATTTTATTTTGGGGTAACTAACTGGCATCCTTAGAGATGTTACTTCTCTTTTCCTCTGTCCTCTCCTGCCCCGCCCCTGCCCCATATCTAGTTGTCAGACAAAAATCTGAAGGCACTTAACTTGGAGTTTTCTGTTCCACAGTCTAGACTTGTAGACACAAGCCTGCTGTCACAGGGCTCTAACAAGCACTTAGGAAGTCTGGGTTTATTTTTCTTTAGCTTCATTTTCCTTCCGAAGTATCACTGGGGAATACAGAAGACACAAACATCTGATGGTGCTCATCTCTTCCCCTTCTATCTCCAGCCTCCTGCTCTCTTTTTTAATTAACCTCAACACAGGAGAAAGAGCCAAGATTCTGATGGAAAGAGAAAAAGGTACAAGAAAACACACTGGCGTTTCAAGCAGGCTGCAGGATTTGTTTTTGTTGTTATTATTGGGTCTCTCTGTAGCCAAAGCTGGCCTGGAACTCGCTAGGTAGACCAGGTTAGCCTTGTTCTCACAGAGATCTTCCTGCTTCTTCTTCCTGAGTGCTGGGACTAAAGGTGTGCGTCACCATGCCTGGCTCTTGGGGTAGGAGTTTTTTATAATTTCTTTTGTCTAGTTTGTTGATGAAACAATGCTGATTTGTCTTCTCATTCCTTAGCTTCAAAGGTGAATTAGATGTTTTTACCTTTGTTACATAATTTAATAAGAAAGCTGATATGTGTTCAGTCAAAGTCAGAAAGGCTCAGAAATGAGATTTAAATTCATTGTATCTAGGATGAGTTTTTCTCAGAACAGGCTGATGGTTTCAGAGTCTCAGAAATCAATAGACATTAATTCATTCTGTACCAATGTGCATGGATCTGGAAGTTTATAACCTCATGGAACTTGTTTTCACAGTGAATGGTTGACCAATAGGAACAAAATCATCTGAGAAGTGCCTTAGAACCAACTGAAGGGAGTGAGTGAGTGCGGCCCCTGCATTGTTCTGAGAAGTACCAGACACCAAGTAGAGGCTGCTAAGAACAAGCATCCTTAGCTCTGGTCTGCCACTTAGAGAGACAGAGAATGGAGAAATCCAGAGTCTGCTACATAGGAGGTATGAACTTGGTGCAAAAGTCTCAAACTAGAAATCAGTCCCGTGACAGGAGGCTGGGAGTTGAAGAAGCTTTCCTAACAGTCACTCCTGCCTGTGCTCTGCGCTGTTTCACGTTCTGCCCTGTGTCCATGCAGAGGCCTGGGCTGGTGCATGCCTCTCAGACCGATTCCTCACATACTATAAAAAAAAGGGCAATGGAGGTCAAGAACAGAAGATTAACGGGAGCCAAGAGACGTGGAGAAAGAAGTCAGAGCAGACTAGAAATGGAAAGCTACTGCCAGTGTCATCACCTGAGCAGTACTTATTGAGTGTCCACGGGGAACATTATGTATTGGGAACAGAGACAGACAAGACAGGGCAAGGGTGTCCCCTCGGAGCAGATGCTCTAAGGGGAGATGATGGGCCACACTCACTGCCTATTACCACCTTATGAGGACCTGCCTTGTATTCTTTTTATAGAAGAAACTAGCTTGCTCAAAGTCTTACAGGCTCTTCACACATTCAAAACTGGGTTTTATATATGCTACACTGAAAGGCACAGGAAAGTCCACATCTTGTGAGCAGGAGTCGGCGTGAGGTTGTTTAGGAAATGGCAGTTGCTCATGAAGGCACTGACGTTATGGTGTGATGGCAGGAGGTTGAGCTTGCATTCTAAGTGCTGTACCATGGAAGGATTTTGAGTAGGGTGTGACTTACTAGCCTTAGAAATTAATTCACATCTATCTGCTTTTTATGGTTGCTTCAATTGGATGCTGGCAGGGGAGCAAGAAAGTCCTAGGGCATGTGGCTGTTTTAGGGAACAGGATGCCATTTTGTAGTATGAACTTCTGTGGGTGGAATATAGTCTCACACAGTCCTTGAAAAATTTTCAAATGCATGGGAAGGCTATAGTGATTAATGCTATCCAAATTCATCTAAGAGCATGAATGACTAAAGTCTCAGCCTCTTCATCATTGTGTCACGAGGGAATATGTGAAATATTTTGACATTATAAAAGAATTATTTTCAGAGATTTGGAGTCTGCTTGTTCAAGGAGAGAAGAAAATATTCTAGTATGCATCTTCCTTGTTTCCACTTAACTTTGTGAGATTCTTTCTATAAACACATTTTCTATATACACACTTCCTATATACACACTTCCTCCAGAGACTGAGTGACTTCTGAGAACTGTAGTTTCTGACAGAACTGTAGTTTCTGATGGCTGCTGTTTCTGGGAATTTGATTCCTTCTTCACCAGAAGATGCAGATTGTGGAGATGACACAGTTTATACTAGGAAGGACAGCAATACAATGTGGAAGGTTTCATTAAAATCATTCGTATAATTCTAATATGGGTTCCCTCTGGTGGTGAGAAGGGCCAGTGTTTGGCTAATTTTGCCCAGAAGCTATAAATCTTTTGTTAAGTATTTAAGAGCTTTGGTAATGTGGTCAAGTGATTTTTACCCAGTCGAGGACAGGCAGTCTCTGGCCTGTATTTCTGGCTGTTTTAGAACTCCAGAGAAAATGAACCTGTAGGTCCATTATTTATAAGCATTATTTCTAACCTCAAGCTATTGCAGTTAGAAAGCACCACGGCTGGAATAGTTTATTTTAGTTCGGTAAAATAAAGCCACACTCTTGTTTTATGACACCAGGCTTTCCTCGACCCCCTCCGACATCCCCAGCTCCCTAGGGAAGGCCAGGTATCAGAACACATGGCTCGGTCAGGTGACTACTGCATCCTGGTGGCTGCGGCAACTCTAGGAGTAGTCAGCAGGGGGCAGCAGAGGCCAAGGGAGCGGGAGGCGACAGACATTGCTGGGGCCTGGGACTAAAGCGCATCCCTGGGACCGAGCTGCCAGTCTCTGGCTTTGGGGCGGTGGGGTTTGGGTCTCTCTGAGGGTCTGGCGGCACCCTGGATCTGTCCGCTTTGAGCCACTTGGAGAAGAAGGCGGACCGGCCTTCGGCTGTTTTTTTGGTGTGGAAAAGTGATGGCAAATTTTATCCAGCCACCAGTGCAAAGCGCTGAAGGCCGAGCTCTGGACAGAGTCTTGATTTTATTTTTCCTTTCCGGCTCATGGTTATTTCTAAGCCCTTCTTTCACAGGGATATTCTAGAAGTCCCACTGAGTGAAAGAAACTAGGATTTGGAAGTGATGGCGTGAAATCTAAATTTCTGCTCACCAGAACAGCTTTGGGGCTCTCTGGACTCGTAACCCAGTTTTGGCTGAGTTGTCTGTTATCCAAGTGCTCAGAAAACGAATCATTTAAACATTTCCAACACAGCGTTTTCATGAGCATTTCCCCTGCTTCAGCCTCACTGTGTGTGTGTCTGCATGTGTGTTTCCTAGCCCAAACCATATAGTTTTAATATAGCCCAATTCGCCATTTTACCCCTTCTGATTGTTGCCCTATTAAAGAAATATTTGCCTACTTTCATAGCAATATTATTTTATTTATCTACCTATCGTCTGTCGATTAATTTTTTTTTGCTAAAAGCCTGATTATCTTAATTTTTTCCTCAAGAATTTTTCTTAAGGAGGAGGAGATGATTCAGTGCATAATGAATTGCTTCATGTGCATAAGGACTTGGTCTCTGTTCCCCAGAACCCAGCTGAAAGCCAGATGTGATGGGGGCATCTGCAGTCCAGGAATGCATAAGGAGAGGTGGAGACAAAATAAGACACCAAAAGGGAAGGGGAGATTCTAATGGTTCTACTTTTTCTAATGTATGTGTAAAGTCTGCCTGGAACTCATTTTTTATGCATAATGGGAATTCAAAATTGTATTCTGTTCAGACCCATTGATTGACGTGCTTCTCATGAATCAGGTGCTCACATATTACTTGGGTTGTTTCTGAAGTCTTTTATTGGCCCTGCTTTTTGTTTTTTTATTGTATACAAACTTTGCGCTTTCCTGATTACCATGGCTTTATAATTGATGTTGGTAGCTGCTAAATTGGGCCTTCCACCCATTCATTGTTCTTTCTCAAATCACCTTTGACTTTCGTGGCTGAAATAATCAAATTCAATTCCTAGATTAAAACTGCCTTTTCCTTTTCAGGTTTTATTGGCACTTTTCCGTATGGCTTCCCTAAGGCATTGCAACCCAGTAATACTGTAGAAATTAAATTATGTGCTGAAATAATTCAGTAGCTCTGTACAGTAAAAGTGTTCTGTGACTCTGTTAGTAAGCCATGGGTCTGCCCTGTCTTCCGTGGTCAGAAAAAGAATGCATTTCTTTTGCTCCAGCAGGTCCAAATTCTCTCTGTCTTTCCAGCCCTGGTCCAGATTCTGCAGATTCCCACATGATAGGACTCTCTCCTTGGATGTCTCTCTGTGGCACAGATTTGACAATCTGTGCTACTTAGCCACAGAGAAACACTTAAAGACCTCCATAGACCTTCATGATCTCAACCATCTGGGCTGGCCTCCTTTCCTTAGTGTGAACCCTTGTCTCCTCCTCCCTCTTACAGGAGCCCAGCCATTCAAGTTTCCTCACATCACAGGTCCCAGCAGGCCTTGCTCTTACACGTCTGGGACTTTGCAATCTGACTTTTCCACCTGGTCTGTTCTCACTTTATTGCTCTAGTCACCTTCCTTTCATTGGCTAATGATTGTTAACCCACACGTTTTCTGTCTGGAGGTCTATTTGTCACCACAAGACTAGAGCAGTCCTTCTTGTGGGTGTTCCTTGTGCCCCTGATACAGTGTGTGTCAGCTCAAAATTATAAACCTGTTTGTAGCTAAAATTCCTTCTGGGGTGTAAATGATTTCTGGCCCCCTCGTCCCTTAGTCTGTATAACAAACTGAGGTCCTATTTTGCCAAGCTGCAGTGTAGGAAACCAGTGAATTTATTGGGCTTATTGCTCTGTAAAGAGCAATGGTGAAGGTGTGGATTGTAACTTCCCCGCAGCCACACAAAATGGTGAGACACCCTCCCCACAACTTCCTCAGTTTATATACCCTTAGTCCCTCCACCTCATGCAACTAGGACAAACAGGTTGGTTGGGATGTGTGTCTGACTCTCCTGCCCCTCCTTTCTTGCTAAGAGTGACGGTCAACCAGCTTAGCTATGATGATCCTAGGCAAGCAAGTGCTACCAACTTGGGAAGAAGGCATCTGTCCATAGTCTGTATATTGAGGACAATCCTATGCAAAACTGTTCAGTTTCTTAAAACCAGACTTCTATTAGATTGTGTGCTCAAATAGGGCAGGGCTCATGACTGTTCTGTTTTCAACATTTTAATCTCTAATACCTCAGCTTTATAGCGAGAGTTTGTAATTCTCTTATGGGTACATGCATGCATAAGCAAAAACACTTTGTCTTAAAGGCCTCTGTTCCACTTTATGGTGTCATGCACAGAGATGCTCCATAATAACTCTATGATTCTTAGACTGAGTCCCTGAACGTTCAGTCATAGATAGTGGGGCAGGTCGTGGGGTTCAACGCTGCCTAGGGGAGTTAATGGCAGGTAAGGACTGCTGGGGGGAGAAGTCATTCATTGTCTTTAGTGGTGTAGTCCCTGGGGAGTTCCCCATGCTGCTGTGGATAGTGCCACACCCATGCTGGTGCAGGTGGCTTGGTGGGTCTGGTTAAGCATAGTGGGCCACAAAGCAAAAAGTGAAACAAGACATTAAAGAGGGATGGAGACCTGGTGGGAAGAGGGGGCTTGTGTGGGTGAGATGGGGAGTAAAGAGGATGGCGGTGTGTGACCAGAATGTATTTCATATGCACCTATGAAACTGTCAAAGACTAAATTAATAAAAATCTTTGTGATTCTTCTCATCTCATTCTATAGGAAATTTTATTTTTAATATTTTATTTATTGTTTTTATTTGTGTATGAGTGTATTGCCTGCATATATGTAAGTGCCCCTCTGTCCTGCATTGCCTGTGGAGGTCAGGAGAGGATTTTGGGTTCCCTGGACTGGCGTTACAGATGGTTGTTAGCCTCCATGTGGGTTCTGGGAATGATCCTGGGTCCTCTGCAAGAGCAACAGGTGCTCTTAATCCCCCAGCC